TCCACTCTGATGTTTCCAATCAAGCACAAATTCAGCTGCAAGCCAAGTACACAAAAACCTGCATAAAATTTAATTGAAGCAATCGGCTTTACTGCTTTTTTATGGATAGGAGTAATCATCCACGCCTCTTTCAGTAGGGGATTTTATGAGTTTCGGTGTTTCACATTTCATTAATTCGCCCGAAATTCCTTCTGCTCCAGCAGCTTTGTCTTCAAGATTTTTCACAGTGTATTCCAGATCAAGATTATAATCTGGCTTGCGGCTCTTCTTCCTAATTTAAGCGAATAAATAGCGTTCTGTTTTTGAGGATTAATCGTGGTTTTAGGGAATTCATTGTATTTCGTGGGAGTAGATGGCAGCCAGGGTTGTAGTTTTTATTTGATAGCAATTATGCTGCTCGCGTGTGCAGGTTTTCTGATTTTTTGGATCGGATTTCGATTTTGTTTATAGCTGCTTTCGATTCTTATGCTCTTCAACTACTCTTATCGTCTGGTGTCGATGACGCTTTTTGCTTGGAAATCATTGTTTTCAGGTACAGCAGAGCAACTTTCGAAAAACCTACTTTTCTTATTAGAGTTTTTCTAACAGCTTTTCACTAGGGCGAGTGTTCATAAAGAAGTGAGTAAAGAAGCATTGTGGCTCCTAAGGCAAGTGCGGCAGATTACATTTTTTACTTCAAAAAGTGTTTTTAAACTCATTGATTAGTGAACACTAGTGATTCTTACTTGATATCGAGGCCTGCCAACCACACTGGCAAAAACGGCTCTTGGAGCGTCGTCACCTGCAAATCCCGCTTTGCACATACCAGATCCGTTATCAACCACTAGGGCAGATAACTCTTCGTCCGCGCTCATTTTTTTTAAACAACGAAAAAACTGACCGTAAGAACAGGTAGGTACGCACACTTGAACTAATCCCGGTTGATAAACGAGTGGAGCATGTTGGTTAATTTTATGCGAAACGTTCACTGATTTCTTGACCGTTACTTGAGCCATAAATCGCTCCAGTCCAGAATTTGTAAATTAAAATTTTTGTTAATTACTTTTACCGCAGTCATGGTTTACTTCTCTTCAATAATATGTTGCCCGGTTTTTACGCATTAGATTAGTTAGATATGGTTTATGAGCAGATCTTTAGTCGAGTGAAAATAATCTGCTAGATGATATCAGTCGGAATGGCAGAATACGCAATTATTTGGTTAATGCAGTTTTACTATGTGGCCACCGCTAATTGACCGTTGAAAGTGCGGCTCAAGTCACTTCCACATGTGAAATTATGCTATCTTATATATTTTCCCCGATTTATTGGCCAATAAAGTAGGCCAACTCTTGCAGGTCAGTGCAGATGTGAACGTGAAGCCTGGAATTGGGCTGCAATCGATAAATCGTTCAATTTTTTTAGGTGAAACAGGCAGCGCATCGTATCTTTTTCTGACCGATTTTCAGAATTAAAATTCAGTTTCTGAGACAATGTCCAGCTTTTTAGCAGAGTGTTTTGTTAGAGTGCCAGAAGATGCAACGGTGTGATGTGGAGCCTGGAGCAAAACATGGGCAGAATGTTTATAAATAAATTTATAATATGATAAAACAAAACATTCGTATTTAAAAAATTGGAAACTATAACCTTCTAAAATCAATTGCTGCATTTCATAAATTTGAGCAATTTTTCCAATTTTTTTTTTAACTCACAAATCACAAATCAGCATTCTTCACTGCATGCATCGCATAATTAATAGAACGATTCGAGCTCCAACTCCAGTTGTTTGTCACAAAATTGTAAATCATTCCATGCATCAGCTTGGTCCGCAGCCCATCTGAAAGCGGGCGAACTCCCAGCAATTTCCTTTAAATCAGTGCGTCGCTACTCACTGTCCTCCAAGATCCTTTGGAGCTGGTGAGGCTTGACAAATTTCTCTGATTGATGGGTTCCTCGAGGAACCAACGAGAGCATGTTTTCAGCCATCCAAACCCCCAAGAAATGGGCTAAAAACGTGTCGTTCAGAGTGGTGATGAAAATCGACCCAGAAGGCTTCAGGCACTTTGAGCAAGCAGCAATAAAACTGGCCTTCTCCGTTACATGTTCTGTGAAACCAAAATGATCTACCATAAGTGCAGGGGAGAAACGTGCAAACTCAAGATGTTGGCCAAATTGAGAGGGTTTTCTACATTAAGGCATTATCAGGAAAAAATTGCCATGAAACCTTTCTAAATTTTATTAAATTGTTTGTAAAATGACTGCACTTTTTACCTGTATTCACAACTCCAGAACTCACCTACCACTTCCGATGCGACTACTGCGTCGAACTTGCCGATGTTATTCTGGCTAAACTCCTCCACAGATGAGCACATATAGTTAATGGCCAAGTTGTTGTCTTTGGCATGTTTTCTAGCCACATCCAGTGCGTTGGAGGTGGCATCCAGCCCCGTCACCACGGCTCCTAAGCGCGCCAGAGGCTCCGAAAGAATGCCCCCTAAACACTCAGCCTAACAATCCCAAGAGCAACTCGCGCGATAACACACTTACCTCCACATCCCACGTCTAAAACTGACATTCCCTTTAAGGGTGTAGAGGTTCGAACATGCACACTGGCGATACAGCCTTCATTAATCAAACCATCCCTCACAAGGGGTATCCTCAGTTTGTTCATAGAATGCAGCGGCTTCAGTGGTCCACAAGGGTTCCACCATTCGGCCGCCAGCTTTTGGAAATTTTCTACTTCCTCAGAGTCGATTGTGCCGACGGTTGAGAAAAGACTGAAAACAGTAACAAACTCGTTTGTATTAGTATCTATAAGCTGACGAATATTCAGGGACACATCGATGGTCATCCATTTCTTTGATTTTTTCATGTAGCTTATTATTGGTTTGGTCACTTGGCCACTAGCGAACTTTCGACGTTCGAAAATAGTTGTCCAAAATAATGTCGATAGAAGGTCAGAGGAGAAGATGCAAATTTGAAGAGACCCTTTACGTGGGGACGCACATTATCCGCACCATGAGGCTGGAGGAACATCTCAGCGGTCTAGAACACGAACTACCGAATATAAACTGGGATGCCATAGGGATCAGCGAAACAAGACTGAGCGAAAAAGCGGTCACTATTCTCAAATTTGAACATTCACTGTTCCAAAAGAACTCGGACACAAACTCACACATCGTAGGCGTTGCTATACTGGTTCACAAGAAGAAAAAACACCTGGTTACAAAGACAACAGCCGTGCCAAACAGAGTAATTTATATAATGATCAGGATCAACGCCATGTTTAGTATCCAATCATTCAAGCAGCTGCACCCACCTCCGCCTGCTCAGACCAATAAATCGAAGAGTTCTACGAAGATCGAACAACTGCAAAGAGCGCAGACAAGACCAAAACCTGTGTGATAATAGGCGATTTCAACGCGAAGATTGGCGCCAGATTGCCGATGGATCCTTCCGTCATCGGTAAATTCGGGTTGGGAACCAAAGAAGACAAACCATGATCGACTTTCAACAAGGAGAGGCTCTACTGCATGCATACCTTCTACAAAAAGCACTCCAAAAGACAATGGACTTGGAAGAGCCCCGATAACAGGATCAAAAACGAGATGGACTATGTTCTAACATCGAACCCCCAAGACAAAAACTCACTAAGGTATGGGGACCTGAATAAGATCGTGAAGAAAGCCATCAGGAAAGATCAGAGCTTATAACACCAGGATGACCGAGGAAGCCATACAGAACAACGCAAACATGAGAGTTCTCCGTTCCGAGAAATATAAGGGTGAAATGTTTATTCACAAGATGAAAAACGATCAGCGAGTCATTGAGAGTGAAAGAGGAAAGTTCGCAGAAATTATTGAGTAATCCTATCGACGACTATACAGGCCATCGGTGGCACAACCAGATCAAGAAGGTCAAATTCACCAGCCAGTCTAGGAGGACTCCATTGATGGAGAAGAACTAGAGGCAGCGCTAAAACACTTAAAGAACTGCAAAGCCCGGGAGTAGACCAGATCACCAGTGAGGTGTTAAAGGCCGGAGGAGAGGCACTCAGGAAAGCACTCCTGACCTTACTTAATAAGTGTTTAGAAGAAGAGAAAATCCCGGATTCTTGAAAAAACGCAGAAGTCATCCTATTATTCAAGAAAGGCGATTGCACAAATCTAGAGAATTTCAGCCCCATTAGTCTGCTATCCATCCTCTACAAACTACTAACTAAAATAATAACGACCGACTTGAGCAATAAATTCGACTTTTACCAGCCAGTCGAACAGACGGGTTTCAGAAAGAGGTACAGCACGACGATGATCATATAAAAGTGTACGCAGAAGGCTTTCGATTCAATCGAAACATCATACGATATATCTACAAATATGCTAACATGCTCGTAAAAATTGAAGAAAAAAGGGTTACTGCAAAAGTCAAGTCGCTTCGAGTAGAGGAGCTAGTAAGTGGTAGGGCACTCTTTTGTGCTGGAGTTGAGAAATCGGCTCGGAAGGCGGAGGAATCAGAAAATGTTCAACGGCATAAGGAGGTGGTAGACAAATGGGAATCCAACACATTAAAGAAGAAATACAAGATTCAATTTGAAGCATTCTGTAGAGTGAAAGTTAAGAATTTTTAAATGGAAACGGGCAGTTGAGTTTAACCTTCCATTTCTAGACCTGCGTTAATGAAGCGCGCAAAAATCGGGTTTAAGTGCGATTTGATTGAAATCTTCAAAGTTTAAAAATTCAAGTGTCTTCTATATGATGTACAAGATTCAACTTGAAGCCTTCTGTGGACCGAAAGTTAGGAATTTTTAAATTAGTGATCAGTTGAGTTAAACCTTCCATTTCTAGATCTGCGTTTATCAAGCGCGTAAAAATCCGGTTTAAGTCCGATTTGACTGAAATCTTCAAAGTCGAAAAATTCAAATGTCTTCTATATGATGTACCAGATTCGAGTTGCAGCCTTCTGTGGAGCGAAAGTTAGGCATTTTTAAATACTACTGAGCAGTTGAGTTTAACCTTCCATTTCTTGACCTGCGTTAATGAAGCGCGCAAAAATCCGGGTTAAGTGCGATTTGATTGAAATCTTCAAAGTTTAAACATTCAAGTGTCTTCTATACGATGTACAGGATTCAACTTGAAGCCTTCTGTGGAGCGAAAGTTAGGAATTTTTAAATGCTAGTGAGCAGTTGAGTTAAACCTTCCATTTCTAGACCTGCGTTTATGAAGCGCGCAAAAATCTGGTTTAAGTGCAATTTGATTATAATCTTCAAAGTTTAAACATTCAAGTGTCTTCTATACGATATACAAGATTCAATTTAAAGCCTTCTATAGAGTGAAAGTTAAGAATTTTTAAATGGAAACGGGCAGTTGAGTTTAACCTTCCATTTCTAGACCTGCGTTAATGAAGCGCGCAAAAATCCGGTTTAAGTGCGATTTGATTGAAATCTTCAAAGTTTAAAAATTCAAGTGTCTTCTATATGATGTACAAGATTCAACTTGAAGCCTTCTGTGGAGCGAAAGTTAGGAATTTTTAAATACTAGTGAGCAGTTCAGTTAAATCTTCCATTTCTAGATCTGCGTTTATGAAGCGCGTAAAAATCCGGTGTAAGTGCGATTTGACTGAAATCTTCAAAGTTTAAAAATTCAAGTGTCTTCTATATGATGTACAAGATT